GGAGTTGAGAAAGGGTGAGAATGTGCTACTAGAGCTGAGAAGGGGTGAGAATGTGCTGCTAGAGTTGAGAAGGGGTGAGAATGTGCTGCTAGAGCTGAGAAGGGGGTGAAAAAGCGCTGCTAGAGTTGAGAAGGGTTGAGAATGTCCTGCTGGAGTTGAGAAGGGGTGAGAATGTGCTACGAGAGTTGAGAAGGGGTGAGAATGTCCTGCTGGAGTTGAGAAGGGGTGAGAATGTGCTGCTAGAGCTGAGAAGGGGTGAGAATGTGCTGCTGGAGTTGAGGATGGGGTGAGAATGTGCTACGAGAGTTGAGAAGGGGTGAGAATGTGCTGCTAGAGCTGAGAAGGGGTGAGAATGTCCTGCTGGAGTTGAGAAGGGGTGAGAATGTCCTGCTGGAGTTGAGAAAGGGTGAGAATGTCCTGCTGGAGTTGAGAAGGGGTGAGAATGTGCAACGAGAGCTGAGAAGGGGTGAGAATGTCCTGCTGGAGTTGAGAAGGGGTGAGAATGTGCTACGAGAGTTGAGAAGGGGTGAGAATGTCCTGCTGGAGTTGAAAAGGGGTGAGAATGTGCTACGAGAGTTGAGAAGGGGTGAGAATGTGCTACAAGAGTTGAGAAGGGGTGAGAATGTGCTGCTAGAGCTGAGAAGGGGTGGGAATGTGCTGCTAGAGCTGAGAAGGGGGTGAGAATGTGCTGCTAGAGTTGAGAAGGGGTGAGAATGTCCTGCTGGAGCTGAGAAGGGGTGAGAATGTGCTGCTAGAGCTGAGAAGGGGTGAGAATGTGCTACGAGAGCTGAGAAGGGGTGAGAATGTCCTGCTGGAGCTGAGAAGGGGGTGAGAATGTGCTGCTAGAGCTGAGAAGGGGTGAGAATGTGCTGCTAGAGTAGATGAAGAAAATTAACTAATTATCTTAACTCCATTCATTGTCAGATATCATTAAAGTGGAAGCAGTTTTGCTTCATCAATCGATGGCTGATCAATCACTGCAGTAAACATGTCATACTATGACAGATTCACACCCAATTCTTCCATATTACTATAGTTAATGCGTCATGCCAAGACAGATTCACACCCGATCCTTCCATATTACTATAGTTAATGTGCCAAGCCATGACAGATTCACACCCAATACTTCCATATTATTAAGGGGCAGTCGGGTAGCCTAGTGGTTAAAGCGTTCGCTCGTCACGCCGAAGACCCGGGTTCGAATCCCGACATGGGTACAATGTGTGAAGCCCATTTCTGGTGTCCCCCGCCGTGATATTGCTGGAATATTGCTAAAAGCGGCGTAAAACCATACTCACTCACTCACTCACTTCCATATTACTGTAGTTAATGTGTCACGCCATGACAGATTCACACCCGATCCTTCCATATTACTATAGTTAATGTGCCACGCCATGACAGATTCACACCCAATACTTCCATATTACTGTAGTTAATGTGTCACGCCATGACAGATTCACACCCGATCCTTCCATATTACTATAGTTAATGTATCACGCCATGACAGATTCACACCTGATCCTTCCATATTACTACAGTTAATGTGTCACGCCATGACAGATTCACACCTAATCCTTCCATATTACTACAGTTAATGTGTCACGCCATGACAGATTCACACCCAATACTTCGATATTACTGTAGTTAATGTGTCACGCCATGACAGATTCACACCCGATCCTTCCAAATTACTGTAGTTAATGTGTCATGCCAAGACAGATTCACAGCCTATTCTTCCATATTACTATAGTTAATGTGTCATGCCATGACAGATTCACACCCAATCCTTCCATATTACTATAGTTAATGTGTCATGCCAAGACAGATTCACACCCTATTCTTCCATATTACTATAGTTAATGTGTCACGCCATGACAGATTCACACCCGATCCTTCCATATTACTATAGTTAATGTGCCACGCCATGACAGATTCACACCCAATACTTCCATATTACTGTAGTTAATGTGTCACGCCATGACAGATTCACACCCGATCCTTCCATATTACTATAGTTAATGTGCCACGCCATGACAGATTCACACCCAATACTTCCATATTACTACAGTTAATGTGTCACGCCATGACAGATTCACACCCAATACTTCCATATTACTGTAGTTAATGTGTCACGCCATGACAGATTCACACCCGATCCTTCCAAATTACTGTAGTTAATGTGTCATGCCAAGACAGGTTCACACCCTATTCTTCCATATTACTATAGTTAATGTGTCATGCCATGACAGATTCACACCCAATCCTTCCATATTACTATAGTTAATGTGTCATGCCAAGACAGATTCACACCCTATTCTTCCATATTACTATAGTTAATGTGTCACGCCATGACAGATTCACACCCGATCCTTCCATATTACTATAGTTAATGTGTCACGCCATGACAGATTCACACCCAATACTTCCATATTACTGTAGTTAATGTGTCATGCCATGACAGATTCACACCCGATCCTTCCATATTACTAAAGTTAATGTGTCACGCCATGACAGATTCACACCCAATTCTTCCATATTACTGTAGTTAATGTGTCATGCCATGACAGATTCACACCCTATTCTTCCATGCTACTATAGTTAATGTGTCACGCCATGACAGATTCACACCCGATCCTTCCATATTACTATAGTTAATGTGCCACGCCATGACAGATTCACACCCGATTCTTCCATATTACTATAGTTAATGTATCACGCCATGACAGATTCACACCCAATCCTTCCATATTACTATAGTTAATGTATCACGCCATGACAGATTCACACCCGATCCTTCCATATTACTATAGTTAATGTGTCACGCCATGACAGATTCACACCCGATTCTTCCATATTACTATAGTTAATGTGTCACGCCATGACAGATTCACACCCGATCCTTCCATATTACTATAGTTAATGTGTCACACCATGACAGATTAACTGTAGTAATATGAAAGAATCAAGTGTTCTTTAACCTCTTTTGAGTCTTATATAAGTTTTTGAGTCTTATATAAGTCTGGCTGTCAAAGATGACCCTGAACACACGTAGTCTCCGTTTTATTCATAACTGTAAAAATGTCTAAACTATTTAGCATAGTACTTCTTAACATTCAAATTGTGTGAATGTACCTGCTTCAATTCTGGATACAGGTTCATCTGTCCATTATGTCATTGTTTGGTTGCGTGGTGCATGGTGACAACTAACACGTAGCTTCAATATGTCCAACATCAGCTACAGTGCCACTTGGCTGGGGAGGGCAGCTCTCTCTTTCTGATGTAGGGGAGATAACTCAAATTAAGTCCACCAGCCAGCAATTATACACAATATAATTTCAGCCAAATCTATTGCAGCTAAAACTTTATAATCATTTTTCTGAGTTAACTTTACATTAAGAGAGTAATGCAGGAGTCAATATGAATTAACAATCAAATAAATCTTATTTTCAGATTGTCAATCAAAAAGCTGAAGTTTAGACAAATTTTTTAACAAATTTAAAAAAAAAAAAAATTCTGTTAAAGAGATTAATTCCTCATATTGTGCTTCTTACATCATTAGAGTTTGGAAGATGTAATGACTTTCAACTTAAATAGGCTCCGGGGGCTTGTGTTTGAAGTTGTTTGTTACTTCTGCATAATGGTGTGTCATGTTGAGTCTCTCAACACATATGTCAGACATGTGCAATCTTGCCGTGCAGGTGCCTTAGTTTAATCAGTTTTGCTTTTTGTACTTCGTTGTTCTTGTGCTTTCATATTTGAAGAAAATAAGATTATTTACTGCCTGTAATTTGTCGGCATGGAATTTGAAGAAAACATCATTATGTTAGAAATGAGGCCCCAATGGCCATGAATTATTGATATAGATTTTAAACATGATTACGTTCATGCAGGAAATATTTCAAGTAAATGTGAAGATGTGGAGAAACATGGTAGGAATTGCTTTGTTTTAGTTGTTGAATGACTTTGTCATGTGGAAACCTGGAGATGTTGTTTTGCCAAGGTCTGTAAGGATCTGTGTGAAGATATGAGATTAAGCCAGCATTAGCCCATGGAGTCAGTAACAATTGGGAAGGAAAGAGCAAAGAAATGAATGCAGAAAAAGTGGGGAAGTAATGTTAGGGGAAGGAAGGGATGAGGGAAAGATTGAAAGCTGAGGGAAGGACAGGAGGGAAGGAAGAAAGATAGAGGTAAAGTTAGGTAAAGGCAGGAAAGGGGGAAGGCAGGAAAGATGTTAGAAGACAAGGAAGGAAGGAAAGATGGAGTAAAGACAGGGAAGGCAGGAAAGATGGAGTAAAGACAGGGAAGGAAGAAAGATGGAGTAAAGACAGGGAGAGTAAAGGAAGGAAAGGCAGGAAAGGGGGAAGGCAGGAAAGATGTTAAAAGACAGGGAAGGAAGGAAAGATGGAGTAAAGACAGGGAAGGCAGGAAAGATGGAGTAAAGACAGGGAAGGAAGGAAAGATGGAGTAAAGACAGGGAAGGAAGAAAGATGGAGTAAAGACAGGGAGAGGTAAAGGAAGGAAAGGCAGGAAAGGGGGAAGGCAGGAAAGATGTTAAAAGACAGGGAAGGAAGGAAAGATGGAGTAAAGACAGGGAAGGCAGGAAAGATGGAGTAAAGACAGGGAAGGAAGGAAAGATGGAGTAAAGACAGGGAGAGTTAAAGGCAGGAAAGATGGAGTAAAGACAGGGAGAGGTAAAGGAAGGAAAGATGGAGTAAAGACAGGGAGAGGTAAAGGAAGGAAAGATGGAGTAAAGACAGGGAGAGGTAAAGGAAGGAAAGATGGAGTAAAGACAGGGAGAGGTAAAGGAAGGAAAGATGGAGTAAAGACAGGGAAGGAAGGAAAGATGGAGTAAAGACAGGGAAGGAAGAAAGATGGAGTAAAGACAGGGAAGGAAGGAAAGATGGAGTAAAGACAGGGAGAGGTAAAGGAAGGAAAGATGGAGTAAAGACAGGGAAGGAAGAAAGATGGAGTAAAGACAGGGAGAGGTAAAGGAAGGAAAGGCAGGAAAGGGGGAAGGCAGGAAAGATGTTAAAAGACAGGGAAGGAAGGAAAGATGGAGTAAAGACAGGGAAGGAAGAAAGATGGAGTAAAGACAGGGAGAGGTAAAGGAAGGAAAGGCAGGAAAGGGGGAAGGCAGGAAAGATGTTAAAAGACAGGGAAGGAAGGAAAGATGGAGTAAAGACAGGGAAGGCAGGAAAGATGGAGTAAAGACAGGGAAGGAAGGAAAGATGGAGTAAAGACAGGGAGAGTTAAAGGCAGGAAAGATGGAGTAAAGACAGGGAGAGGTAAAGGAAGGAAAGATGGAGTAAAGACAGGGAGAGGTAAAGGAAGGAAAGATGGAGTAAAGACAGGGAGAGGTAAAGGAAGGAAAGATGGAGTAAAGACAGGGAAGGAAGGAAAGATGGAGTAAAGACAGGGAAGGAAGAAAGATGGAGTAAAGACAGGGAAGGAAGGAAAGATGGAGTAAAGACAGGGAAGGAAGAAAGATGGAGTAAAGACAGGGAAGGAAGAAAGATGGAGTAAAGACAGGGAGAGGTAAAGGAAGGAAAGATGGAGTAAAGACAGGGAAGGAAGAAAGATGGAGTAAAGACAGGGAGAGGTAAAGGAAGGAAAGGCAGGAAAGGGGGAAGGCAGGAAAGATGTTAAAAGACAGGGAAGGAAGGAAAGATGGAGTAAAGACAGGGAAGGAAGAAAGATGGAGTAAAGACAGGGAGAGGTAAAGGAAGGAAAGGCAGGAAAGGGGGAAGGCAGGAAAGATGTTAAAAGACAGGGAAGGAAGGAAAGATGGAGTAAAGACAGGGAAGGCAGGAAAGATGGAGTAAAGACAGGGAAGGAAGGAAAGATGGAGTAAAGACAGGGAGAGTTAAAGGCAGGAAAGATGGAGTAAAGACAGGGAGAGGTAAAGGAAGGAAAGATGGAGTAAAGACAGGGAGAGGTAAAGGAAGGAAAGATGGAGTAAAGACAGGGAGAGGTAAAGGAAGGAAAGATGGAGTAAAGACAGGGAAGGAAGGAAAGATGGAGTAAAGACAGGGAAGGAAGAAAGATGGAGTAAAGACAGGGAAGGAAGGAAAGATGGAGTAAAGACAGGGAAGGAAGAAAGATGGAGTAAAGACAGGGAAGGAAGAAAGATGGAGTAAAGACAGGGAGAGGTAAAGGAAGGAAAGATGGAGTAAAGACAGGGAAGGAAGAAAGATGGAGTAAAGACAGGGAGAGGTAAAGGAAGGAAAGGCAGGAAAGGGGGAAGGCAGGAAAGATGTTAAAAGACAGGGAAGGAAGGAAAGATGGAGTAAAGACAGGGAAGGAAGAAAGATGGAGTAAAGACAGGGAGAGGTAAAGGAAGGAAAGGCAGGAAAGGGGGAAGGCAGGAAAGATGTTAAAAGACAGGGAAGGAAGGAAAGATGGAGTAAAGACAGGGAAGGCAGGAAAGATGGAGTAAAGACAGGGAGAGGTAAAGGCAGGAAAGATTGTTGAAGACAGGGAAGGCAGGAAAGATGGAGTAAAGACAGGGAGAGGTAAAGGCAGGAAAGATGGAAGAAGACAAGGAAGGAAGAAAGATGGAGGAAGACAGGGAGAGGTAAAGGCAGGAAAGATGGTAGAGGCCAGGGAGGAAGGAAGATTGTGGTAAAGACAGCTGAGGTTGAAAAAGACGGGATGTTAGGGAAAATAGTAAAATGAAGGAGGTAGAAGGAAAGAAAATGTGGATAGGAAGAGCTTTTTCAAGGAGGGAAGATTGGGAAGGGTTGCATGAGTTACGAATATTTAGTGTTACATTAAACCCAATTTCAGTCACTTTTTCATGTTTATAAAGTGTATGTAGGGTCATAATATTCATTCCTGATTTAACATGATTTGTTTCAACATTTGGAATATCAAATTATTAATGATAAGACAAGCATGACTGAACTGCACAATCAAAGTAACGACAACAGTGTTCTTATCGTATTGATCTAACGTTTGTGTTAAAACAAATTGAATTTTCTGCAACTCCAAACTCAATTTTGCGTGTATTAGTCGAAAAAAATAAAATAAGATTGTATAGGGGCGTCCTATCTGCTCAGGGATCAGCGTCACTGAGTAGTCTGCAGGCAGAACATTGGGATTTACGGGTCTGTCCACATTATCCTGGTTAACATGAAATTGTGGATTTTGGTCGGAATATTGGATTGTTGGATTCTTAAATTTGTTTGTAATTTTTTTTTTTTATCTTAGTTGGTTGGAGATCATGTCTAAAAACAACTGGTTGTATCTTTTGAAGTCTTGATGCATACAAGTATGTATCATCATTTGGTTTCAGTGTTGAAAAGTGTTTCATTATCTATTTTAAAGGAGATAGAGAAATGCTGTCAGGAAATAGTGTTGTAACTTACTAATGTGGTTGTGTAAGAAAAAAAAAATGTTTTGAGTCATATATCAAATTAGAAAATGCCCTGTTCTCTTTGGTCGTGTAACTGAAGTGTAGAGGGCTGAAACAGTTACCCAAATACTTCAGTATGAGTCATGTATGGTAACTACTGAAGTACAAAGTTAATACTTGAGTAATTGGAGAGTTATCTCCCTTGTTCAGTTAAATTATCTCCCTTGCTTAGCAGCATGGCTGACAACTATCGTTCAACTGTGTGGCAGTTCTTCGAACTGTCAGATGATAAAACAAAAATTAAATGCACAATTTGCTCCATTCAACTTTCTTTTAAGGGTGGTACCACCTCGACACTGAAGAACCACCTGAAACAGAACCATTCAAAACTACTGCCCTCTGGGTCCTCCTCCACAGTTGTTGGTGGCAAAACTCAATCAACTCTTCTTGGCTTTACTAATAAAGTTGATTCTACCGGCTTTATAAAGTTGAATATAGTTCAAATTTGGCTTAAAAGGTTTTCACCCAGTACTAGATGTGCAGTAACAATGTGTTAGAATAAATTTGAACTTTGAAAACATGTATGAAAGGCATCATTCCTTAAAATGGTTAATGGTACGTTGTCCTTTTTTTTCAACTTCGTCTACAAATTGCATTTTCTGTTAACTTGAGTCTATTTTTTAAGAATTGTTTAAGCAGCTGGAAGAAGGTTTTATGCAGCCTCTGACACCACTATTATTGACAAGCACGTCTCAGTTATCACCTGGAAATGTGAGTTTGCTGAAAAGGTAGTGTCGGTAGAAGAAATATGTTTGACACAATTCGCAGTTTACAGACATAGTGATTGGCTATCTGAACAACATCCTTCGCCTTCACTGTGTGATAATAAAGAAACTGTATTCTGGTCAAATATTGTCCTATATTCAACCCAATTACGCTCGTTCTTACTCCCCTGGGGGTCGTCTAAGGCACCATAGTTCACTGTCAGAGTTGTGTCCCTTAGGCTTGCAAGAAACCTATGGTGATTGGTTCAAATTACAGATTCACCTGGTTATGTTTCTTGGTTTATCAACACCATTGGGCTTTCCTCCCGCATCAAGCAGACACTTTTATGATGTAACTGGAATACTGTTAAAAGCTGCGTTAAACCAAACCTCCATCAAACTCACTTGTTCCTATGCCACTACCAATACTTCATGTGAAGGGACATTCAGAGAGTCAATTATCATGAAGTGAAACTTGGACTGTTTGATTGATGACCAAACACACCTTCCATTGGGCTAACTTACCATGTACCACTTAATGTAGATAGAAAGTATGGAGCACACAGGCTTGAAAGAGCCTCATAGTTTAAAAAGCCCTGAAAATACCGGTAGGCTTAGTTGCTTTAAAAGGCTGGAACTGGTGACTTGTTGATGGAAAATACTCCGATAAGTCACAATCATTTATACAACACAAGCCACACGAAGAAAGAAATGTATTACGGAGCTAAGTCAGTGAAAAGGCCACCTGATGGCCTTGAAAAACCCACCCAAAAGGCCTTAAAATAGAGTCAATATATTTATGAGTCAGAGCATTTGGTTTTAGGATTATATCAGCAATATCACAACAGGAGATGCCCCAGAATTTCTTGCTCACATTGTAGATATGTGGGAGTCAAACCTGCTCTTGGTAGACGAACCAATACTTTATGCCATTAGGCTACCATTAGGCTACCATTAGGCTACTCCACCACCATTAATTTTGTATGCAACTTAAAAATATATTTTGGAAGTAAGAGTGAATGAATAGCATGCCAACAATGTGTGACGATGTCTGTACCATGTGTGTGTTGCTCCATACCGCTTTATAAACACCTCCTTCTTATGTTGTTTGAAGCCACTGGGTTCTGATCGGAAAAATGGTGCAAAATGGTCCTGTTTGGGGAATTTAACACACAGTGGACCATGTCCAGTGCTTATTACAGAGGATAGTTTATTTTCACTTTACCAAAATTTTCTTGAGATATTTTTTTCTGAGAAGGCCTTACAGTGAGCAGAGTTTGGTGTGTTTGGATGAAAGAAGCTTTTAAAATGTTGTTAAGGATGTTGTCTGTTTTAAAAGTTGATTCCTATATCCATTAAGTCTCTTCTATCTATTGCCAATGAGTAATTTAGTGTAAGAGCTAATAGGTGTTTGCAAATGAATTATTATAAATATACATTTCATTTCCTAATTGACAGCTTGTCATTCATAAAACAACTTACAAATCAATCATGCTGTTATCAGAATCATGATGAGATAAGATGATGAGAAATTTAGAAGAAACAAATATGGTTCTAATCATGAAATGAAACATCGGAGAATGATCTGTTTCTTAATAACAGAGAGTAATTTCCTATACTGATTGATGACAGGGACAACAGGTGGGTAGTTTGACAGACACTGTCGTCAATTACGGGGTACTCAATTCACAAGCATGCAATCCAATACAGCAAGATGATCGTTGATGATGCGGTGACAAGGAACAAATTACTGTGTATTCTCTTTGAGTAATTGAGCTATTAATTATTTTTAATGGGTCATAATGGTCATTTTCTTCTTCTATGGAGCTGACACACAAATATAAACCTGGCTTTGTCCAGCATTACCCAATTTCCTCGTAAGCCACTTTGCGATCATCGTTCGTCTTTCATTCTGATTATTTTACGCGGCATGATTGATCGAAGGAGGGAAATCAGATTCCTTCCGTTGTCACTTGCTGCAATGTCATTTTACTCTCATATTCATAATGTTCATTGAGTTAGCTAGTTCGTTGCCAGAGAATCTATTTTATTCTGTTTTTTTCCTGTGACGTTTTTCCTTCAATCAAATCATGTCCCAGCATGCAACAGTTGACAATTACCGAGAAGATACTACAGTCATTTTCATCCAATTTGGTTGCTGAAAAACAAATACGTCCACTATCGTCTTCGCTGACTTTGATGGATCACAAAACACATGTCATGATGCCAAACAGGGAATTTTGGGGAGGAAATTCGCTGAATTATACTTTCGCTATTGAAAATTGAGATGTTTTCCACACTTTTGGACATCTGCTTAAACTCAACATCGATTACAATGATTTTCACAACATTTTACCAAAAACTTTTAAGATTTATACAAAACACCAAATCTTTGAAAGGATGAGAGGCAGGTATCTTTTTAAAATGGCTTGATGACAGTGTCATTTTTTCTTTTGAATATTCAATTTTAACTCCTGTAGTTTACAATGGCTCTGACTGTTGGCATGGAAATCTACAACCGTTATTAATGAAAGCCAAGAATGCTTTGACAGTTATGTTCTCTGTTTTCATCCTTGATACGAGGCACACATGTCATTTAGATAAACTTCAAATTATATAAGACGTGTGTCAAGTTAGTCTTTATGCAGAAATGATTATGATAATTGGTGTTCAAGAAATTTTGAATACGTATTATTCCAGGTTTTTTAGTATGAAATGATGTATACTGCTCTTCTTGGCAAAAAGGGGAGATAACTTTGTAGTTGTGAAGAGAGCTGCTCCTCTTCTTTGAGACATGATGATAAGGTGCTGGAGATGATATCACACGGGGAAACAGATATAGTATGTATGGCAATACAGGTTGACTGTTTCATACATTTTTGAAACATTCAACACAAGAACAGAATTTAGTTTCCTTTTCTGTCTCAGAAGTTATCTGTTAAGGGAGTCATGATACACCTACATCATGAAATGATAAATAAATATCACGCTAGTTAATTTACAGTGTTTTGGCCTAAACTTGCTTTTTGTGACCTTGCTGACCAGACATGAATACTATGTGTAAAGCCCATTTCTGGTGTCACCCTCCGTGATATTGCTGGAATTTGCTAAAAGC